CTTTCTGGGTCAGTAAGCTGACTCACTCTCTGACTGCACAGATGCTGGGCAGCTATGTAATTAAAGGGCACACTGGAGGCTGAGTCAGAATCTCTGGGTCCTGCTAATCAGGTTCTGTCCACCTAAGTATTTTATGCAAGATCCCTCCCCTGTGCACACTCAGGCAGACTAAATGATGTGCCTAGTACTCACTAAGTGGCTTTTGAAGTATCTATGGGCTATCTGGAGGGACTTGGATTTTTTAGGGCTAGTTCTGAGTTGTTTTTTTTTTTTAACCCCACACGTTTGCACTTGGACACCATAACATCTTTGCGACTTATTCCTTGTGCCTTTTTATAGAACTGAGAATTCTATATCTTTGACGTATTATCTAGAAAAACAAGTAATTCTCCTTTTAAGATATTTACACTAAATTCCATCTTTTAAAAAAATTGATTTGAGAGAGACAATTTGATGTTCCACTTATTTATGCATTCATTGGTTGACTCTTGTATGTGTCCTGACCAGGGATTGAACCTGCAACCTGGATGTATCAGGACAATGCTACAACTAATCGAGCTACTCGGCCAGTGTTCGTCCTCTTTAAAAACACAACCATGGTCAGCTGGTGCAGGATCTGTGTTCTAGGCCACTCTGATGAAGCTTGCCCTTCCCGCTTCTGCCCACAGCCCCAAGCCAGCATGCCTCTGTCACAGCCAAAAGAATCGCGTCACTGTCCAAAAGGGCCTTGAAATGTTGAGCATCCCACCCACGTTCTCAATATTTTGCTTAGACACCGCATTCGTTTGCTGGGATTGTCCTAACAAAGCACAACAAACGGAGTGGCTTAACTGATGAGAGTGTGTTGTCTCAGAGGCCTGGAGGCTTGAGACGTGGGTCTGAAGGGAGGTGCGTTGTCTGGAGGGTCTGAGATGAAGATGTGGGCAGGGCCATGCTTCTTCCGAAGGTGCAGGGGAAGGGCCTGTTTCCAGTCTCCCTCCTGCCTTCTGGTGGTTCCTTGGCAAGTGGTCACATAGCTCCAGTCTTTACGGGGCATTCAGTGAGAGAGAGAAAGAGAAAGAGAAAGAGAGAGAGGGAGGGAGGGAGGGAGGGAGGGAGAGAGAGAAAGGGAACTGTTTCTTTTTATAAGGACATCTGGTCACATTGGATTAGGGGCCCACATTACTCCAGTGTGACCTCATCCTAATGAATTACACCAGTAATAATTGTATGCCAAAATAAGATCCCGTTCTGAAGTGCTGAGGGGAAAGACTTCCACACACGGGTTTTGGGGAGATACAGCTTAGCCTATAACAGATACTTTCTCCTCTTTCTACATTTGTACTGCATGTGGCAGCTCTCTGATCTCAGTCTTCAACACTGTCCCCGCTGCGCCCCCATTCTTCCCCAGAAATGGCCTGCACCTGCCTGAGCAGTCTTTGGCCTCCAAGGGACGAGGCCCCCTACTTATTTTCATTGTATCTGCTGACAGAAGAAAAGTGGTGTTCATTTTGTTGAAATCCTACCAATCTGCAAGATACTTTATGTATATTATTCTAAACCTCACCAACATGAACATTATACTCATTTTTAAGGTGAAGAAAAAGACGTAGGAAGTTAGGTGACACAGAAAAGCCTCACTAGCAGGTCGCGACAGAAGGAGCTTTGAGCTCAGCCTTTCCAGTGCAAAGCCTCTCTTAGCCCACCCCACCCCGGTGTCTCACGGAACATCAGGAGGCCATATTCTGGCCAAATCGCAACAGCCAACTCACTTTTCTTCTGCTGGAACCCATGGTCATTTCATTCAGAGGGAAAAAAAATCATAAAGACCATTTGATTTTTTAACAAACATTGTTAAGCAGCTGCCCAGATATGCAATGCTAGCGTGAGAGAGAGGGGCTGGAACACACATGGGTCCGCTAGTGTTCTTGAACAGCTGTGAGAGAAACGAGAACAGAAGGCCCTGTGTCTCCGACGGACTCCGAATCCTGCCTCCCCCGCGGACCAGCTGTGCGGATGTTGCACATACTCGAACGCTTCCCTGCGCCTCCATTTCCTTATCGTTAAACTCGCTTTAGTTGTGTCTCTCTCATAGGCGAGGAGGAGGGCTAAGTGCAAAATGACTAAGAAGTACCTGGCACGCAGCACACCGCGGATAAGTCTCTGTTCTCTCCCTTTCTTCCCTCACTTTGGAAGTGTTTTGTTTGTGTCCTCCCCAGAGCTATTATCCAGGTTAGGTCAAACACGGCATTTGGTTTCAGAAAAATTGTGCCTGGTGGGAGAATAATGAATTCAAAGCAGGCCAAAGAGGGTATCCTAAGCCCATGAGGAAGCAGAAATAAGGCAGTATTTGAATGTTAATAGTAACTTCTTGGTTCTACCTGGCAATCCATTCCGCCAGCTTGTAAGACATGAATTCAAATGTCACAGTGGTGCAACTAATAATTCCACTGGAAAATAAAGCTTTATTTCAAAAACAAGAAATCAATCCCAATGATTTAAAATACAGGCAGGTAAGGGATAGGGCTCTAGAAAGAGCGATGAAGAGAAAGAGGAAAATGGAAATAAAAGGTTCTTAGTTTCCAGATCTGAAGCCAAATACTCTTGGGAAAATCACTGCCTCCTTTTTCCTCATTGGTAAAATCCTTGTGGTTCTTTTAGATTCTAAGTGTACATGCTTTTCAGAAAAGGTTGTTTTAAATGCTGTGAAGCTGGTTCCTGCTTGAAGAACACAAATGAAATGAAACAAATGAACTGAACCAGAGGCTTAGAAAAGCTTACTACCTTTTGTTCCAACATTCATCTTAGAGTCTTTTTCATTTCCTTCTTTTTAAAAAAATCTCCCTTGACTTTATTTCTGTTCCCTTTGTCTGTTATGATTATGATTTTTTTTTTTGGTTCTTCTCCTTCGCTGTCTTTTGTTTGAAATTTATTTTTCTACCCTCTGCCTCTGCAAATCAAGTGGCCCCAACAAGAAATTGAAACAAAATTGAAAATATTTGTATTTTAAAAAATGTTGGATGACATTTGCTTCATTTCTTAACTTTAAAATGAGATGAGTTAAGCATGCCACATTTCTCTTCAAAAGCTAAATTATTTATCATCACTTTTTATAGTCCACTGATTTTTTTTCTCCGCTGATACACACACTCCCATGACAGGGGAAAGAAATGAAAAGACCGGCTGGTAGGGAGGTCACCCCTGGGAAGGGCAGGGTCTTAGAAGCTGCCTGTGGATTTACTGCATTTTCCCCTTCATTTTACATTTTCATTATTAAAGTAGGGATGGCTTCTTGGCCATAAGAGAAAAAAAAATTCCTCTGAAGGATTTTTAATATGATTTTCAAATTATATATTTTAAGAAAATAAGATTTTCTGAGAAACCAAAAACAGAATCAAAAATAAATATTACAAATCTGAAAACAAAATAACTGGAGTGCTCTTTATTTTTGTTACGACTGCTGAACGCTCCAAAGGCACAGCAATGCCTGTGGCCGAGGCTGGCAGGGCAGGCCGGCCCAGTCCCTCTTCAGTTCTCTGCAGGATAAGCTGAAGTTTAACTTCTCACAGCTTTGGAAGCCCTCGGACTTTCAAAACCAGCGACTTCGATCGTTTCTGCTTCCGCGCTTTGTTGGTGGTGTTTTTGCTGCCTACAGTGCCATCTCCTGTCCTATACTCCAGGCCCCCAGCACACTCTTGTCTTTCTAGAAAATAGCTGCTTCTCTTTCTAGACGAACCATCTCATCTTTGACGCCCGAGAGTTAGATGAAATTGACTAGTCGACATTATCCACATATTCCTTGAGCCCCTCTTAACGTGCTGGGCGCCCGTATCTCTATGGACTCCTGCACTCTACAGATTTCTAGTAGAACCTTGGTGATGCTTTCTTGTCCTTCACTGTCTAGGTCGTGCTGACCCCTCTCTTCCTGTTAGGTGGCAGAGACGGAGGGCAGGGCCATGGCACACTCACTCCTTTGTATTTCCACACAAGGCCTCCTTGGAAGAAACGTTCAGTCAGTCACTAAGTGAACGTGTAGGTCGCTCTGAGCTCAAGGAAGAGAGGAGTAATGGAAACACTTGCACGATGGGGATAATAATTCAAAGTTGCGGCAGCAGATGAATGAGCAGGGAAACAAATGTGTTAGTTAACAGCAACAACGAAAGGGCGCGAGAAGAGAATAAGCAGTGCTGGGAAGGGGAGGGGCCCTGAAATGCCAGGCTGTGGGGCCGCGCCATGGGGCTGGGAGTCTGCAGCAACTGCATTGGATCGCATCAGACTTGAGGGCTGGAGCTCAAACTTCTTGATAAGGAGAATGAAGGAGAACAACAGTACAATCATCATAAGAGCTAACCCTAGGTGCCAAGTACTGTCTCAAGAGCTTTTGGTGAATTCACTGACTCAAATACCCCAAACAAACTGCAAGTTCTACCAGTAGCTCTGAGCCGCAGAGCCATGGCCCTGGGCCCCCAGCTAGCATCCGGGGCTGCCACAGAGGCCAGAGTAAGGGGAGGAGGCCGCGGGGAACTCGGGCTCCAGGCTGTGTTGGTTAGCCAGGATGCTCTACCAGGACTGTGTTTCCATCCCAGCGCACACTGGGAAACACAGTGGCAGGGGCTGGTATGTAGAGAAATATTAAAACGTCTGGAATAAAGTCAGTGATTGGTTTGAAAAGAAAGGATTGGCTAAGTACAGGATATCTCGGCGCGGGTCTCTCTCTCTCTCTCTCTCCCCCCGCCGCCCTCCCCCCTCATTTTCTTCTTTAAATCGCTCCTCACAGGCCAATCTCTCCCAGAACCAGCTTCACTAGACAATAGCATCTGGAGACCTTGACCACATACCACTTTGGGTTTCTTACCTTAAACACTTGCGTTACCCGTACAGGGTGCTGAGGGAGCAGAAAGGAAGAGGGGCTCCCACCTCCACAGCCAGGCGGGACCTGTGTGCTGCTGGGGTTGCCGCCCCTTGGAGAACAGCTTGTCCTGAACGTCCCGTGCTCTCTCCCCTGTGTCCCCCAGCCAGCCTCACACCGTTGTGCTTCTCTTCCCTGGCGGAGCGAGACTTCCAAAATGAAGGCTGGGGCCGCTGGCCCAGGGGCTCCCTGGGGCGCTTTGCTGCATCACCACCAAGCGGATGGAGGGCTGGGCATCGACAGGGGCCTCGGGCGCGTCCTGCTTACTGGGGTCCTTGCCTCGGCAGTCGTACAGCATGCAGGAGACGAGGAAAACCAGGAGCAAGATGACGTAGCTCACAACTAAGATGATCAGGTTCAAGGTGACAGGGTCGATCTCCAAGTAAAACTCCATGAGGCTTCTCACGGGTGGGAAGTGGGTCCAGTGTAAGGCCTCAGGGCCAGTTTGGGGATTGCAGGGAGCAAACCCTAGCTCGTCAGAATAGCTACATTGGCTCCGGAGTAAAAATACATTAATCCCCAGGGCTCTGGCTCTGGGAGACCTCACGGATTACAGCTGCTCGGTTTAATAATGGAAGCTCTTTCCGCTAATACTACAGCCACCAAAACACAGACGCTGTCGCTCAGCAGTTCAGCTTCGCAGAGAAAGAGGAAAAGGGATGATCCAAGTGTTAACTATCATGGTGTCCACACAATTTATCCTCCAGTCAGGCTGTGCAGGGAGCAAAAGTAAGTGCTGTTAATAAGCACACCATGAACAAGTTGGCTTGCTCTGAAAAAGCGTGAAGTATGGTCACATCCATAGAAGGGAGGTTTAAATGCCATGGATCTGTACGTAGAGTGATTAGGAAATCAGGTCCATGGGCTTTGGGAATAAATGAGCTTCTTTAATAAGCAGAGGACAGCTAGGACCTGACATTTTCATCTTTTCTTTGTTGGTTTTTAAAGTTCATTAATTCAAAAGTACTTTTTGAGCCTCTCCCACGGTCCCAGGCACTGTGCTAAGCAATAAGAAGAGAAGCATTTAGTCTAGCAGGGAAGACAGCTATTAAACACATACTTGCACAGTCGCTGTTTGAGAAGAGTGGGCATAAATTTATAAAGGACAAGGAGAGGGGACCAGGAGAGTGTGTCCCAAGGCCCGTCAGAGAAAGCTGCCCTGAGGAGAGACATTTAACCTCTGACCTGAAGGATGGGCAGAAGTTAGGTAGGTTAGGACCCGTAGGGAAGAGTCTTCTTGCTAGGGAGAAAAACATTTGTGAGAGATCTGGGCAGAAAGAAGCCTGGAAACAGGAGGAATTGAAACATAAACAGTGTGACTGGAGACAAGAATCAGGAGCCTAAGGGGAGAGGGGCAGCAATGGGTGCCACTGAGCCACTTCCTGCAGGGGAGCGATGTGATATGTGCATTTTAAAGAGCACCTTGGCTGCTGTGTGGAGGCAGGAAGATAAGCTGATAGAAAGATCCGATACAAAGCAGGTGTTCCTCGATTTGCAAGTCATCATGCCACCTCAGCTGCAGCCCTGGCCCCACAGTCCTGGATAGAACCGACTGCATGGCAGTGGCAGGGGGCCCCCGCTCAGACGCGCCCCCCATTTGGGTTAATGCTCTGCTGTCACTATCTTGAAATTTCTCAGAATTTTTATATTTTGCACGGGCCTCACAAGTTATGTATCTGGCCTTGGTCTCATCTATGCATTTTTTTGGCCAGAAAGGGCCATTTCTCCAAGAGCTAATGGGACTCTTTGGATCAAAGGCCAGAGCTCCCTGAGATCTATCTGCCAGTTTCTTATACTCACTAAGATTTAATGGCCTAGCAGCTTCTGGTTTGGCTCCTGTATGCCCAGCTTCCACGGGAGCCGGAGTGTTCGGGGATGCTGCACAAAGGAGTTATTACTGATCTGGAGGCCTTTTTCAAACAACATATTCCATGATCCTGTGGTCCTGGACTAACCTGTGGAATTACACTCATGAAGATGAATAGTTCCCAAACCCCCCAGGTTTAGGGCCAACCTCACTGGAATCAATTGGCCTTCTTAGGAAGACAGATTCCTGGATCAACCCCAGACCTCTGGAATTAGAATCTTTGAGGCTGCAGTCTGGGAATCTGCATTGGATCCTTCTGCTATGCATCCAGAATGGAAAATCATGGCCACAGATGTGAGTGAGAGGGGTGTGTAGAAAATGAGCCACCAGAGCCTTGGCTGGCTGCCAAGAGCTGCCATAGGAGGTATTCAGCACAGAATTCAATGCCATCTGTGCTCTGAGTCCAACAGGCTCGTTAGTTCACTTTGTCAGGAGGAATCCTTTTCCTGGTGGCAATTCACATTTACCCAAGTGCACAGGAGACTGATGTTTAGAACAGAATACCAACGAATTAAGTCACAGTGAAGAATGTAATTGTCATAGGTCAGGAGGGCTTATGCTGGAATGATGTAGCTTTTTCTTCCTGGAGTCAGATCTACAAAGTCTACTTATAACCAGCAAGCTTCTTGGTAGAGATAGGCTCTCAGGGAACAGGCTTATCCGGTGCTCTGTGCCCAGTGCTCCTGATCACAGCAGGGCTTTCGGCAGCAGGATTATGTACCAACCAGTTAATTACTTTCTCCTGCCTACTCCGAACTCTAGATTCTTGACTTCTATAGCAAACTGATGTCTATATAGTGCAGGTGCTACCATGTGACAATATTTTAGAAATGTTCTCTGATGACTTGAAATAGATGACACAAGGATTTGCTAAAGTTGACTCTGAAATGAGAACTGTGTACTTTTTAGTCTACGTGAAATTAAACTGAAATATACATGCAGCAACTCTGTTTTATCAAGTGGGGTTTTCACATCAGTTCCAGGTTTCTCTGTGCCACAGTGGTAGCCCTTCATTGTGGTGGTTGGTCCGGTCTGGCCTCCTCTTGTCTTGCATTATCTCAGTTCAGCTGGTTATCTCCATCGTGCCCCAGAATATTTTGTTCAAGGCTATTGTTTTTGGATCAGTATCTTCTTACTATCTGCAGAGGGCTTTTTGTCTTTGAGCACTCACCTGTGCTCAAAGGTCATGATACGTCCAGCCTTGTGGAGGCTTAGATTCCTTCCGATGTGTTCCGTGAGATGTTGGCTATTTGTTGTGCTTTCCTAACTCCAGGGTGGCTGCTTTACGCAACCTCTTGAGGCCAACCTCTCGGGAGCATCTTTCCTTCTTTCTTGAAGAAACTTTCCTCTTGCGCCATCTAGTGGCCAAAGCAGAGACTGCTAAGTAAGGAACAAAAAATTGGCAAAATATAAATCAGAACAGCAATTTCTAATTAGCTGGAGAGGGTGACACAGGTAATAACAACAAGCTGCATTTCCGAACAGTCCCTTGAGGTGTTCAGGAACGGCCACTCCTTTATCTCTTTACAGGCATGTAATGTGTACTTGCCCTATGCTGGCTGGTACAGTGGGTGCTAGGCGCTTTGGAGCTTGACAATGTGGTAAATACTGAAACTGTGCTGCATGCCCGATGCTAGCACTAATGAAAAGAGGAGTGATGAACTCCAATGTAGAAAGATGAAAGTGAATTCAGAGAGGTGATGGAATTCTAATGAGCTGATTTTCTTTCCTTTTCTCCCTCTCTCCTGTCCATCTCTCTTTTCTCCGACTCTGTAGGTATAAATCAAATACCTCCATAGAATGCCCTATGTTATGTACTCTGGGGCACGTGAAACCCAATCAAGTTGCTATTTTGTGGGTCCTCAGTTGTACACATACATTGTACCCTGTAGTCCATTCTGTCTGCTGACCTGGAACATCACTGAATAATAACACCAGGTAAACCTGTGCTCCCTGTCGATGCATTTCTAAGCAACATGCCAGTGCAACTAGAGCTTATTCTTTAAATCACCACATTGTTTTTGTATTTTGACTATTCTAGATATGAATTCATTTCTAATATTACATTGTGCCTTGCATCCTTAATCAAATGCAATACCCCAAAAGTCTCAGTGCAGTGTAAGTTTTAATAACGTTGGAGGTAAAAATGTCACAAGCTTGCAAAACATAATTGTTTAGTTATGTTACAGTTGAGGACATTGAAGCTCAAAGAAGTAACTTGCTCAGGGCCAACAGATGGTAAATGAGAGAAACAGGACTGTAAGCCAAGTTTTTGGAATACCAGTCTAATGCTTTATTCCACCGGAGCTATTGACGAGATAGAGAGGAAAGTGAAGGAGGGCTTGATGCTATAGACGCTAGAAGACTGAGAGTGTCAATGGTAATAGCCAAATGCTGGCTGTCTATAGTTTCAAATGTCCACTTGACCTAAAAAACTGGCACTAAGAGAACATGACTCTACTCTCAACACACTGCTCCTCTCAAATTCCCACTCAGAATCTAGTGAGTGGCTCATCCCAGAGCTTCTGGAAAAACACTGTCACATTCTAATCACAGAATGACTTCAAGATATTTTTCCCACCTAGACTGGGTTGAATAGAGTCTCTCTCCAAATACGTATCTACTTAGAAACTGAGAATGTGACTTTGTTCAGAAATAGCATTTTTGCAGATGGAATCAGTTAAGATGAGGTGGATAAGGATGGGTCTTAAATCCAATGACTGGAGTCCTTATGGGAAAACTGTGTGAAGACAGCGACACACAGAGAGGAGAATGGCATGTGAAGATGGCAATAAAAATTACAGTGAGGCATCCAGGAGCCAAGGAATGCCAAGGGTTTCTGGCAACCACCAGAAGCTGGGAGACAGGCATGGGACAGATTCTTTCTCAGAGCCCATAGAAGGAACCACCCCCACTGACACCTTGATTTCTGACTCCTAGTCTCCACCACCATGACAGAATACATTTCTTTTTCTTTAAGTAACCCAGTTTGTGGTATGTTGTCAAGGCCATTCTAGGAGACTAATACATCATCTATCTACTATGTATATAAAACCAGGTATGGCTTAGGGCGAATTGTGAGGTATACTAAGCTCATGTAGACCTCCCTTTACTTTCTTTTGGCATTTGTCCCTTCTGGCCCTTGGCCTGGTTCCTGGATTCTTCTTCTTCTCAGGTGCGGCTCCATAGACAAAATGCCTGAGATAAAAGAAAATTCCTGCATGTGAAGTTTACTTAAAATTCCTGCATGTGAAATTTACTTCCATAAAAAATAAACACAAGACCTTTAGTTTAAAATAGCAACTGGCTAGCAATCTCTGGCCTAGCCTTTTATATCTTCCCAGTAAAATTCCTTGGAATACACAGAAAAACATAAAACCTATGAAAGAAATGAGCAACAGTGTAGTAGGGGATAATATTAAGATTCTAAGGCATTGCTGTTCCCCTCACCCCTTCCCAAGAATTGTTTGAACCCATTTCTCTTCTTCATCACTCAGGACTTCTAAAAGTGGTGACTCTCAGGAGAA